TCTGGGAAGATGGGCTTTGGCAACATTCGCAAACCTGTCGACTGTATGTTGTCCCCAAAGGCGGTCCAAGTGTGCGAAGAACTCGGGGGTTGTATACCAGTCATTGAAGTCTACAATGTGGCTAATCGCATCAGCACAAGCATTACGTTCCCTGGGAACCCACTGGGGAATAAGTGTAATATTGTAAGTTCGACAAAAATAGAAAATATCAAGCTCAATATAATGCAATCCTGCACTAGGGCTCCCTATCTCCACAGCACGAACTGTCCCTTTGGCTGTCAGAATGCTACTTTACACTCTTACCCAGAACCAAGGCTTTGAATGCACTTAAGGCAAATTGTGTAGCCTTAAGTTCTCTTCAGGTAGAGCTCTTAGCTGCTTCACCAGCAGTCCACATACGATGGGACACCTCATTAGTGCCCACAACAAAAGCCCCGTTGCTAGCGTCCGAATAGTTAAACAAAAGGGGAGGATAATAAGGCAAAATAGGTCTCGTATTAAGACTAACGATATTGTTTTTCCAGAAAAATATTTCAGAGAGGCAATCATTATGAAGCCCGATATTAAAACGGAAATCCCAACTATGGCGGGATTCTATGACCTCGTAAAGAAAACGGGTTTTGAGACGAGTCAGGTTACCCAAAACTGGCTACATGGACCAGGGGCACCCAACGAGGATATAGTTGAAAACCACTTAACATAGCATTGTTGAACGTATTTTAGCATTCAAACGGTAGATATAGGCATATTTTTATCCCCTAAAAACTTTTCATCTGTTCGAATCTCCTAGCTGAAAATCTAGTGATCCGAAAATTATAGGGATAAAAACTTACCTTCTCGAAAATTTCAGCCAGGAAAAGGCTCCCGAAAATTATAGGTGGCCTTTTTTAGTTCCAAAATCCGTTAAAAATGAGTAATTATACCGTTTTGTAGATGTTCGAAAATCCTAGGAGAGGCAGGCAAGCAAGAAATTTTACAACAAATGCTCCGAAAATTCTAGATCTCAAATCGTCTTCCGAACAGATATTTTCCCGAAAATTGCCGTTTGGTGCCCCTGATGGACATAACGTGACCTGCAATAACGGCACAATCCCGAGCCGTAACAAGGTGCGGATAGAAGAAATTTGTCAATCAGAACGATAAATTCGGAAATACGTCTATCGGTAATAGAAATGGTACCGGTAACTAAGTCCCAGTTTAAACCCAACCAAACAAGCAAAAGGGTGGGGTTCCATAGTGATTTGGCGGAGTTGGCAACAAACCCTGCACTGCTTAAGGATGATTGCACAAACAATGAATTTTCCTTGGCCATAGGCAGTGAATCCACTTTTCCGCACCCATCGTCGAGGAACACAACAATTTTAATCCCGTTAGACCTCCAAAACTTAACGAGTGGTCTAAGACACTTGGTGAAGACGTATGGGGCTGAGCTAAGACCGAACGGAAGTGATGCAAAACAAAAATACCGAACGGTACCAGAAAAAACCCAGGAGAACCCAGAAAAGTTTGGTGATCCGGAAAAATATCGATATGGTGATACCCAGACTTGAGATCGAAACTGAAAAGGTAATCGCCCTTATTAACGTATGATAATAAAACTCTCCAATCTTCACAACCAAACTTCCGTTTCCAAATGAAATGATTGACATGACGTAAGTCATAAGCCTCTTCTTGCCTGAAGACTGTATCGAGACAGTTCTGTGGTCCTATTTAACTCCAATGCCCGAAAGACCAAAAGAACTACGAAAGGACGGCCCGGAGCTTGAAGATCTGGCTTGAGGATTAACTTGACACAGAGACCTCCAATGACTTTGCTGGCCACAGGCGAAACAAATATCACTTGGTCTTGGTTTGCTGAAAGCGCCAAGAGTACGAGAAATAGGTCTGGTGGATGATGAATGTTGGCCAAAAAACGCGGTGGTTGCGGTAGATGATTGGAGTTGTGAATAACCTTGCTTGGATGGCTTCACTTTCTGTTGGCGTTGGCTGCGTTTACGAAGGGCCCTCTGCTCGACCTCTGACCCGCTAGCCAGTTCGTCAGATGAATACTCGTTCACCAAATCCCAACCGGCGGCGGACTTGTCTTTCAGTCTGATACGTTTGTTGCGCTTCTTGATGTCAGATTCTAGTTCTTCCAGGAATTTTCAATTTACCCGGACTTTAGTTTTCACAATCTGTCCAATGCTCAACATTAGAGATAGCTCAATAAGGTGTTTAGAGAAGAATACTGATGTGCACCAACAAATCCAAACTTTAATAGTAAAAAAAAATCATGATCATCTGGCCTTGAAACTGGGCAGCAAAAAATAAATGCCATAGCAGATGATGAACGACACAACTTGATATTAAACTGAAGCAGAGAACCGATAATATTAGTCTAAAAATGATGTCAGTGCTATCATCTGAGTTGTGATGCCATGCATTTTCTTACCAAGTCACGAAATTTTGATACAGGTCACGAAGGTGGAACTATATTGAATACAGATATTTGTTCGCGGGCGAAAAATTGAACAAAACAGAAAACAAACGTGAGAAAAAAATAACTTGTTCCTTCGCTATTGCTTGCAGCAAATGAATGCCACGGGATAATGGCTAACTTTCGCTGGATAATCTCTATGACGGTCCAGCATAATGTCTGTCATCTTGTTTTGTCTCTTTGGTAGTACCCAGACCCTTGCATCACAGCTAGTTCGCTCGACCCCGCTCGTTTCAGCGGCCTAGCTTATTACGCCCTGATACGGATAAAAAATGGACGCTTGATAATGCCGCTGGCCGGATGCAAAACTATTTAAGGCCATATGGGCCAACTCAAAAACGTAGGCAAACAAGCCATTCGGCGAGCTAGTTTCATGCGAAACAAGAACAAATGAACTGACGAGCGAAATAAAAAACGCGTGGGCCAACATAAAGCCACTCGGCGTGAAAGAACTAAGGCCCCTTAGCGCCAGTTCTGACTGGCAGGACCGCGCTGTTAAACCTGTCTGAACCAATGAGTGAATCTTTGTAACGCCCGAGGGAAAAAATCCCTGCGGGGTCGGGAAAATTAACGTACGCGGGGACGTACGGTTGGAATTAAATGGAATTTGCGAACAAGAAAGGCCAAAACACATTAGACGGCCAATAAGGGAGGACTAAAGTACCAACCGCACCGCATAAAGGAGATGCTGAACCGCCCTAGTAATGCAGTGGACGAGAGGGACTAGCCAATTTTTCTTTCCATTCCACGAGATTGAAAATGCGTCAACAGCTTCAGTACCGGGTACGCGAAACCTAGAATTAAATCTGGGAAGATGGGCTTTGGCAACATTCGCAAACCTGTCGACTGTATGTTGTCCCCAAAGGCGGTCCAAGTGTGCGAAGAACTCGGGGGTTGTATACCAGTCATTGAAGTCTACAATGTGGCTAATCGCATCAGCACAAGCATTACGTTCCCTGGGAACCCACTGGGGAATAAGTGTAATATTGTAAGTTCGACAAAAATAGAAAATATCAAGCTCAATATAATGCAATCCTGCACTAGGGCTCCCTATCTCCACAGCACGAACTGTCCCTTTGGCTGTCAGAATGCTACTTTACACTCTTACCCAGAACCAAGGCTTTGAATGCACTTAAGGCAAATTGTGTAGCCTTAAGTTCTCTTCAGGTAGAGCTCTTAGCTGCTTCACCAGCAGTCCACATACGATGGGACACCTCATTAGTGCCCACAACAAAAGCCCCGTTGCTAGCGTCCGAATAGTTAAACAAAAGGGGAGGATAATAAGGCAAAATAGGTCTCGTATTAAGACTAACGATATTGTTTTTCCAGAAAAATATTTCAGAGAGGCAATCATTATGAAGCCCGATATTAAAACGGAAATCCCAACTATGGCGGGATTCTATGACCTCGTAAAGAAAACGGGTTTTGAGACGAGTCAGGTTACCCAAAACTGGCTACATGGACCAGGGGCACCCAACGAGGATATAGTTGAAAACCACTTAACATAGCATTGTTGAACGTATTTTAGCATTCAAACGGTAGATATAGGCATATTTTTATCCCCTAAAAACTTTTCATCTGTTCGAATCTCCTAGCTGAAAATCTAGTGATCCGAAAATTATAGGGATAAAAACTTACCTTCTCGAAAATTTCAGCCAGGAAAAGGCTCCCGAAAATTATAGGTGGCCTTTTTTAGTTCCAAAATCCGTTAAAAATGAGTAATTATACCGTTTTGTAGATGTTCGAAAATCCTAGGAGAGGCAGGCAAGCAAGAAATTTTACAACAAATACTCCGAAAATTCTAGATCTCAAATCGTCTTCCGAACAGATATTTTCCCGAAAATTGCCGTTTGGTGCCCCTGATGGACATAACATGACCTGCAATAACGGCACAATCCCGAGCCGTAACATAAGGTGCGGATAGAAGAAATTTGTCAATCAGAACGATAAATTCGGCAATACGTCTATCGGTAATAGAAATGGTACCGGTAACTAAGTCCCAGTTTAAACCCAACCAAACAAGCAAAAGGGTGGGGTTCCATAGTGATTTGGCGGAGTTTGCAACAAACCCTGCACTGCTTAAGGATGATTGCACAAACAATGGATTTTCCTTGGCCATAGGCAGTGAATCCCCTTTTCCGCACCCATCGTCGAGGAACACAACAATTTTAATCCCGTTAGACCTCCAAAACTTAACGAGTGGTCTAAGACACTTGGTGAAGACGTATGGGGCTGAGCTAAGACCGAACGGAAGTGATGCAAAACAAAAATACCGAACGGTACCAGAAAAAACCCAGGAGAACCCAGAAAAGTTTGGTGATCCGGAAAAATATCGATATGGTGATACCCAGACTTGAGATCGAAACTGAAAAGGTAATCGCCCTTATTAACGTATGATAATAAAACTCTCCAATCTTCACAACCAAACTTCCGTTTCCAAATGAAATGATTGACATGACGTAAGTCATAAGCCTCTTCTTGCCTGAAGACTGTATCGAGACAGTTCTGTGGTCCTATTTAACTCCAATGCCCGAAAGACCAAAAGAACTACGAAAGGACGGCCCGGAGCTTGAAGATCTGGCTTGAGGATTAACTTGACACAGAGACCTCCAATGACTTTGCTGGCCACAGGCGAAACAAATATCACTTGGTCTTGGTTTGCTGAAAGCGCCAAGAGTACGAGAAATAGGTCTGGTGGATGATGAATGTTGGCCAAAAAACGCGGTGGTTGCGGTAGATGATTGGAGTTGTGAATAACCTTGCTTGGATGGCTTCACTTTCTGTTGGCGTTGGCTGCGTTTACGAAGGGCCCTCTGCTCGACCTCTGACCCGCTAGCCAGTTCGTCAGATGAATACTCGTTCACCAAATCCCAACCGGCGGCGGACTTGTCTTTCAGTCTGATACGTTTGTTGCGCTTCTTGATGTCAGATTCTAGTTCTTCCAGGAGTTTTAACAAGGTCTAATTTTCTCTTTCCGAGGGCAGCTGACGCCGACTTTACCTTCGCTGCAAGGTCGGAGTTGAGTTGAAACTGTTTCTTATTACCTTTGAATCTAAAAGTGATCTTGTATTCTTCTTTGAATTTTTTGGCTACAGAATCGGTATTACTGCACAACTCGTCTTGAATATCGCGCTTCAAGGCGCCCAACTTCTTGTCGAAATAATCCTTAAATAGAGAGAACGCAGAAGCTATATCACTGGATTCTGAAGACTGGATTGGTACTGAAGCTTCGAGTGACTGAGACAAGATAGAGGGTTCTTTAGGAAGCGAAGGCAACAAATTAAACGTCGCTGCTAGGAAAATTTGTGTTCGTTAAGGTAACGTCTTCAACATCAGACATAATTTTGAGGGCGTAGGGACGGTCTTAAGACGCGAATGAATATAAATGAGAGCAACGCAAATATATATAGCCTCCCGCTAATGAAGCAATGGAACAGCATACCATGTAACACCGCAAAGAAATGGTTACATAACCGATGATAAATACATTTCCGTTCACTAGAACATTTAGTATTTTTATAAGAACATTTTTTTAAAGTTAGCTGAACTCGGAAAAACGCATAACTTCGTGAATTCTGCGCGTTTTGCATTGCCTGAGCCATGTTGTTTGACTGATGATTCAAACAGGAGAACTTTTTATTGCGCCCAACTCAATAAGTAGATGAACACAAAGGAAATCTCAACGCACAGCTTAAAACGCAAAATAACGTTGCTTAAAATAAGTAGAGACCCCTTTAGCATATTTTGAATGCAGCAGAAATTCTTATTTGGGAATTAATCAAGAGGTAAAAAAAATAGATTCCCGTCGTTTTTTGTGTGTGTGTGTGTCAAAATTTCCGGTTTTGTGTCTTAATGACACGTTAAAAATTTGTTGAACCTTATTCAAACGTATCGAAAATGAAATGCCTTTAAATCAACCTAACTGGTGACAAAAAAACATTTTTGACATAATCAAGAACTCTTTACAGAATTGTTAGCTGGGTTTAACATAAGGATAAAGGTTTACGAAAAAGAGACATTTTCTGTTTGCTTCTTTCAATCTCTATTCTCGCTTTTAGAAACTAAATGTTTTTTTTTTCTGACGGGAGAGACCATTCCAGAAAGTATAAGAGACCTACCTTTAAATAAAAATACAGAGTTTAACCAAAATATGTTTTCCAATAAACTCGGTGCAATGTCTGTTTACAAATTTAAAATGATTATTAAACTGCCTATACGGTGACTAGGATGTCCACCTGCTACAGTGCACCCTTATCACAAAGCCTGGGCACGCGATCAACCTGAACTTGTAAGCACCAGGCGCTGCCCCTACTTGTGGGACTAGAACTAATCGATCAATAAAGTTCTGACGATACCAGCAGTTCAGAATGAAAACACCTCAAGCTTGAGATCCTGTGTCGACACTTTGCCCAACATTGTGAGAACGTTGAAGACCTTGAAGCAGATTTGCGATCAGCAGCTAATATGCAGCAGATTATTAAACAACTGCCTCCGAAAATTGCTGTAAGGTGTAGCACGCGATAGTCAGAGCTGCAGATAAAGGATAGCTTGCAGTGCAGGCGTTTTCTTTGAGCGCGCAATTTGCTCGCGAAAGCGCGATGTTGAAACTTCCCGAAGAGAGGAGGAGATAGGGCGAGTCAAAGGGAGCGGGGAGGGAGTGGGGAGAGAGAAGAGAAAACGCCTGCCCGAAAACACTGTGAAAATGAGAAACACCCCCTAATTAGACGCGCGTGACGGCTCTTCCGGAAATGAGTAGCCGACAGTAACAAAACAACCAAACAGTCGCTCCAGTCCAAAGACTCGCATTGTCTTAAGAAAAACAAGCTGGAGTCTATCATTGTTTTTATCTTGACCGAGTCACAATGCAATTCTCCACAGCTGATGAAGCTTCAGTTTAAGCTGCAATTCATTCTTCTAAATTCATCTCTGTAAATCGCTATCCGTGAGAGTTTAACATCCTACAAACAATTTAAAAAACTAACGAGCTGGGCCCAGCGTGATACAACATTGCAGGAAAACATCACATTCTCGGACTAATAAGAAAAGCGATTAGTTATTCAAATCCTGAGACACTTTGGACAAAATAAAGAACCTAACAGCCTCATTTAGCGAAAAAAGAGCGTTACGCTTCAAAAGAGGTTAAAGAAAACGTCTGGCATCAGAGGACAAATCATGAAGACCAGAAACACCACAGAAAATCAATAAGCGTGTCATGACCCCTCAGTTTGAAACAAGCGGCTAAAATCACATTTGCTCTGTCAAAACATAGAACCCTCTAGAGAGCATCTACTCGCCAGAAAAAAAAAACGTATTGGAACAAGCAGCATTTTGGCATGAGGTAAAAGTGGTGTAGGTACTGCGAGCAAATCTTGTCCTGATGACCAGTGTAAAAATCGCTTTGACTTTCTCATTGCGTAATACACGCGACATTCCCAGCCGCTCCAATTCCAAAAGACTGACGGAAACGGAATAAAAAATATAGACTTACAGTCAATTGACAGGCATCAATCTACTTCCCTTACCGCACCAATCAGGAGCTCCGTTTGCCAGCGTACGGAGTTTCCCAAAAGAACAATGATATCGGGCAGGCGTATTTTTTTCTCCCCTCCCCCTCCCCCCTTTCCTTCTTTCGCCCTAGCTCCTACCGTAAGGGCTACTACTTCTACTCTCCCCAATCTTCCACTGTCATAAAATCAAAGATGGCGGCTACAACAATATTACGAACACGAACAAGGTTTCGCCCACCCCAAAATACGCCTGCACTGCAGGCTAGATAAAGGAATTTGTCCTTACCGACCTACATGTTGATGAGTGGCTGGAAACAGAGAATCAAGTCCAAGAGATGGCTATCGGTTGTGGCAGTACTAAAGCAAATCCTGGCCAAAACAAAACCAAGTCAAATTCAAACAAATCAGAGTGGTTCAAGGAAACATACAAAAAGGGATGCGTGTAACGAGATTCGTGCAAATCCAGGAGCTAGAGTGGAATGTTTTGTGTGCAAAGACATCAAATGTGCATTAACGATGGTAATTGGCGAAGAAGTTGGGTTTGTGCTTTTGGTGCCTCGAAAGAGAACATTGAGCTTAACGGTGCTCATTGTAAGGGAGTAAGGAACGTATCCAGTAGAAGGGTGGGTGCGACGACACCACCTACATCTTCATGCAGCCATAGAGCCATCGCAGTTAGACATTTTAACCCCCCAGGAAGCTACAGGAGACACGTCAACAAATGGGGAAAGCTAATCGCAGAATCTGTGGAGTGCCTGGAGAAGCCGCGAGTGTACCTCGAAACCCTGAAAAGGTTGCCCTGAAAATGGTACCCGTTGTATTGGAGGGAGAAAATGGGATAATGATCAAAGCCAGCGCCTTTCTTGGTTCTTCTGGGTCGTCCTACCTTAAAGAGCAGATCTTTGATTTATTGAGCTCGGACGTTGAGAGTAGACCACTGCGTTTTGCTGTTTTTGGAGCGGGGTCGATTGTGACGGATAGGAAAACTGTCACTGTGTGCCTATAGATTATGCATGGAAGCGTTAAGAAGCACTTGTTTCTATGGATAACCCCGAAAATTTGTGAAATAACTGTAGTTGCATGATTTGCCTCCTAATGCAAGGAAGCTAAATCATCTTTGCGATTTGGAGTTCATAATGCAAGTTAAACATGGATAAGTTGATTTATTTGTTGGAAGTGATTATTTTGAGAAACTGCTTTTACCCCTTGAATTTGGCATAGGAAAACCTCAGGAGCCTGTAGGGGTTGACTCCCGTCGGATGGACATTCGTTGGACATATCTTGGAAGTAGCAAACGAGTGTCCGTTGCCAACCACGTCTACACATTCTATGCATCCTCGAGGGCCAGTGAGTTCATACGGAAGATGTGGGATGACGAAGTTGTGGAATCACTTATCGAAACAAGCCCTTGACAAAAAAAAGAGGTGCTTGGTGCGCGCAAAACGGCAAAGTCAACGCGATGTGCTGAGGGGCGCTATGAGGTGGCTATTCCATGAAAGGACAATGAGCCGCCGCTGCAGTGCATCAATTGCTGGTCAATTCTCGCTTAATTTGAACCGGTACTGACGAAGAGTCTTACCCCACAACATGGCCGCCCCCAAGGGGTTCCGTGTTTTTAAACCCCGGTTTACCGACAGGTAGTACTACTAGTTGCTCGAAAATGTTCCTGCCAACGATCTCTGGAAATACGTCGACGATACGACCATCTCGGAGACAATAAGCAAGAACCAAGACAGTCACATCCAGGCCGCCGTCGACACCCTGGTCAACCCGCGCTTCCTTGGAAAAGTTTCAACTAAACGAGACGAAATGCAAGGAACTGTGGATAAACTTTAGCACTAAGAATACCACGTCTTTCAACCCCGTTGTAGTTGACGGTATGCCTATCGAATTAGTTGCCACTGCCAAAATACTAGGCCTCAATGTCTTTAGTGATTTGAAATGGAACTCGCACATTCACTACATTATCAAGAAAGCTCAGAAGCACCTGTATAATTTCGATTGCTTTTTATCATGTCGATTTCGTTTTTTTTATCTTTTATTTTTTTTAAACAAATCACAATTTTACTGTAGTGTATTCATGTATTGTTTGTCGGTTATTCGCTTCTTTCGCTTTTCTTTATAGATTAGCTTTTAGTGGTAATCATAATTATTTGTAAATAATCGCCTAATTCAACCTCCTGGTTGCAATGTGACTATAAATAAACCATCTATCTATCTATCTATCTATCTATCTATGGAAAGCCAATAAGGAAGTCTTTTTTTTGATAAAGGATTAGTCGAGGAATTACAAGAATTTTGTCGCCAACCGAGTCTCGGAGATTCTAGCCTCAGACAGTGGTGACACGCTCCAACTAATTTTAATTGTGCAAATGACGTGACTCCAGTGCCACACTCGAAGGTGAGAAGTGAGAATTGCTGGTTATTGCACCTGAGTTCCTGTATGAACATAAGGCTGAATGGTCTCAAAGAAAACGTGTAGTGTATAAGGAGCGTTCAGAAGAGTGTCTTGCTCAAACCTTTGTCTTAGAGGTTTCAAAACCATTGATGAATCCAACCGAAGTACACCAGGCAAACCTTTGGGTGATGAGAATTGGAGCGAAGTTATATTGACTCCAGGTAAAATAGACATAGCTAGTTGGAAAGCTGGGAGGACAA